GTGAAAATATACATAAAGCTAGATGGATATAAATGGATTGAGAGAGAGGGGAGGGGGTATGAGAGAAGGAGAGGAAGGAAAGGGAGCGAGGGAGATAGATAGAGATAAGTAGAGAGAGAGAGTGAGAAAGGGGGAGGGGGAGAGAGGGGTAGGAAGAAGGAGGGAGGAAGGGAGGAAGGGAGGGAGGGAGGAGGGATGGAGGGTGGAGGGATGGAGGGGTGGAGGGATGGAGGGGATGGAGGGATGGATGGATGGATGGATGGAGGGAGGGAGGGAGGGAGGGAGGAAGGGAGGGAGGGAGAGAAGGAGAGAGGGGAGGGAGGGAGAGAAGGAGAGAAGGAGAGAGGGAGAGAGGGAGAGAGGGAGAGGGAGGGGGGGATAGACAGAGAGAGACAGAGAGGCAGACAGACAGACAGACAGACAAACAGACAGACAGACAGAGACAGAGAGCAGAAAAAGAAGTCAACAAGAATCTGAAGATTAAAGACAAAATAGCTGTGGAAGCAACGAAGATATTTATGGTGTTTCCCCGTCGGAGGAGGCCAGTTCACTTCGTGGGGAAGAATGAATGAGGTAAGTCAATTTGAACAGGACTCCATCAATGAGAGAAAAAACTCTCTTACCTGACTCCAACTACGAAGGTTCGTAAAATGACGAAGAGAGAATTGCACCAAAACACAAAAAACGATCTTTAATTTCCAAGCGGCGACGAGAAACGTCCCTTTCCACGGGGAATTCTGTGCGGTTCCTACAAGAAGGGAAAGACGGGTGTGACACGGAAGCCCTGATAGTGATGCATGTGCGACGGCAACTCACCGCGCTGCCATCTAGCGGTTGGGCCCGGAGGCTACGACGCGCTTGATTAATGGAACTGTTAAAACATCATGAAATTTTTGGACCGCCGAAAATTCTTTCATCACACTAATGATCACACTTTTTTTTTTTTTTTTAAGTCGGTCAGCCAATTCAGCGAAATTGGCTCGTGTAGTCTTCTGAAGTAATTTCGGGAGGAAGTCATACGATCCAGCGAGCCAGTGACGAAGGGGCATCAAGACGTTTTTTTCAATGAACGTTTTCTTTGCTTTGGTCATTATTCGTCAACCTATATCTTTATTTGTATCTATCTATCTCTCTCCGTCAACCTATATCTTTATTTGTATCTATCTATCTCTCTCCGTCAACCTATATCTTTATTTGTATCTATCTATCTCTCCCGTCAACCTATATCTTATTTGTATCTATCTCTCTCTCTCCGTCAACCTATATCTTATTTGTATCTATCTGTCTCTCTCCGTCAACCTATATCTTTATTTGTATCTATCCATCTCTCTTCGTCAACCTATATCTTTATTTTGTATCTATCTGTCTCTCCGTCAACCTATATCTTTATTTGTATTATCTATCTCTCTCCGTCAACCTATATCTTTATTTGTATCCATCTATCTCTCTTCGTCAACCTATATCTTTATTTGTATCTATCGCTCTCTCTCCGTCAGCCTATATCTTTATTTGTATCCATCTATCTCTCTTCGTCAACCTATATCTTTATTTGTATCTATCGCTCTCTCTCCGTCAGCCTATATCTTTATTTGTATCTATCTGTCTCTCTCCGTCAACCTATATCTTATTTGTATCTATCTGTCTCTCTCCGTCAACCTATTATCTTTATTTGTATCTATCTCTCTCTCTCCGTCAGCCTATATCTTTATTTGTATCTATCTATCTCTCTTCGTCAACCTATATCTTTATTTGTATCTATCTGTCTCTCTCCGTCAACCTATATCTTTATTTGTATCTATCTATCTCTCTTCGTCAACCTATATCTTTATTTGTATCTATCTATCTCTCTTCGTCAACCTATTCTTTAATTTGTATCTATCTATTTCTCTTCGAACCTATATCTTTATTTGTATCTATCTCTTTCTCTCGTCAGCCTATATCTGTATTTGTATCTATCTGTCTCTCTCCGTCAACCTATATCTTTATTTGTATCTAATCTTCTCTCTCGTCAACCTATATCTTTATTTGTATTATCTGTCTCTCTCCGTCATATATCTTTATCTTATCTCTCTCTTCGTCAACCTATATCTTTATTTGTATCTATCTATCTCTCTCCGTCAACCTATATCTTTATTTGTATCTATCCATCTCTCTCGTCACCATATCTTTATTTGTATCTATCTATCTCTCTCCGTCAACCTCTCTTTAGTATCTATCTATCTCTCTCCGTCAACCTATATCTTTATTTGTATCTATCTCTCTTCTCTCGTCAACCTATATCTTTTCTACCTCTATCTATTTATATATTCTACCTCTTCCTAATATTCTCTTTTCTTATTATTTTTGTTCCCACCCTCATTTTCATCATTTTCTCCTGTGCCTCTTATCCTATCTCTCTGTCTCTCGCTTTATCAGTCTTGCTTATGAAACACGTATATCAGCCACTGTTCATTCTCCTGTCATCATGCACTGTAAATATATTTCACTGCTTTATGGTGCT